AGTATTAGAAAATATATACGTATATTACGTACGCAAGTTAAACTGTCAAATCTGAGAAACATGCGGTTTGAAAAAGCAGTAGAAAGAAGGGTGTGCGGTGTGATGACAAAATTCGATTTCAAGATTTTAAATATTCATTAGCCAACCTAGCGATCAATATCGAGTCGTATGAAATTCCCAAAGTCTTATTTACATTTTTGCGCTACAGACGATCACGCTCATATATACATAGAACACGTGAACATTATACATGGGGCCTAGTTAGGCCAATAGTAGTACTTGATTATTCGCCAAGGTTATACTTATCATAATATTTCGCGATAGCGGCGTGAGGTAACGATAACGGCCGCTATACGAACTCGTTACACGAGTAACGACGTTATCAACCAAGATAACGCCTTTTATCCTTGTATCTTGACGCTTGATTTATAATCCCTTTATCAGATAAACTACTAAATTCCGCAATTATTGTCGTAAAGCGGTACGAAAATAATATAATTAAAATATTATGGAAGAATTTTCAAACAGTTTGTTTTATTAAAATATTGGGAAGAAACTCGAACGAATTATAATTCGCGTTTAAGGTGTCTACAGATTTGATCGATTTTTTAACGATCCACATTTTAGTCGTTTTGTTTGATCACATACAAACAAAACGACTAAATTTATAAACAACAATCAATCGACGTCGTAGTTTTTGTACATCGTTAAAAAATTGAGCAAACCTCTCTCAAATGCCTTCAGGTGACCTGTGGCTTTTTGGTTACTAATAAGACCATTTGTATACCGTTGGTAGGTCAATGATTTGTATCGAGTTCTTAGGTTTTAGGAACTCAATAATGCTCACATTAAGAAATAGATAAGGTGGCTACTTAAGGTGGGCACTTTCCGGACGAAATCTTTCACAATGAGCTCTACTGCTATTAAAATTGTAAATGTACAAATTAATTAATACTTAGGAATAGTATAGGTACTATGTTGCTTAACGACCTTGGTGGCTACCCAGTTTGCGCTGAGGGGTACTGGATGAGCAAGTCCTGGGTTCAATTCTAGGCACGACCAATTTGGAAAACAAGTTTTTTATTTTGATTCTAGTCTGAGTGTCATGGGTAGTATCCTAGATTGAATTCCGTTGCTCTGGTACTCATGGCACAGGGAATTCCTAGGTTGACACCAGTAGGGCTAGCATGATAAGCCGCGACTTGTGCGTGAACGACATAGAGCGTTTAGACTGCTATTCTCGCATAGAGATCTCTCGCTTTATGTCGCTCTCACGTATGTCGCGCCCATTTGTTCGCCCTACAGGTAATTAGTGTGGTTGTCTGGCACATGAATTACCTACTCGTACGTACCTATTTATATTCTTTCTCGGCCTGGAATTAACAGCTTTTCTTGGTAAAAAATGTAATTTAAACTATAAGGAAAGTACCTGTTAGTGTTATCCATGTGTTATCAGTCAATACCTGTGTACGTTCCAAAACGACGTTATATCGGGACCTCTTTAATAGCAAACAATATAATTAATTGCCTGTTGTTAGGTAGACATGATAAGATTTCTAAGTGTGCACATCCTTTTCACATTAAATAAACGTCCATGTAGTTGGTTATTGAGTTTGTAAGAACGGTAAGTAGTCGTATAGTCATACGAAAAAAAAGTCAAATATTTTTTTTTTGTATTGCATACAAACCAGGCACAATTTGATGCTCCGCTGGACGGCAAATAGGTAGGGCATTGGTACATACTTAAGCGGGTTTTGTATTAAAAAGGTATGAACTGATATACATATTCACTCGTCTTTTAAAAAATGCAGTGTGGGATTTACGTCCTTTTTTGAACCGATTTGCGTAACTACTTTAAAACTGCAAAATTAATTGCATTACGACAATGTTGGTTTCTTATCAATTGACATTTTCAAGATAAGTTTTTTTAGTAAATAAAAACGGAGATATAATAATGAATTTGGTAAATGTGTAAACAGTTAAATATACTTACCAATAGACATGTTTAGTAAGAGGCATTATTACATAGATAGATTGGATTGTACCTATAGACTAGATTATATATTTTTATAGAGGAGACGTAGTGGGTGTTCCAAAGATTTGCACGAAGTGTCATGCTTCCTCATTTATATGGCGTACGGCTATGGAGTGGAATTCCATACCAGTAGACTTATTCCGTGAACGCTATAGCTTGGACCTATTCAAGGTGAAAGAAAATAGGCATTATTTAGTTGTGCATGCTTCATCGTCGACTTTCCATAATGTGAGGTCAAATGCTCACTTATATTTTATAACAAAAAAGGAAAGCAAAAGTTGCTGGCATTCAGTACATTGACTGGCTGTTATTGATGTCGATTTTACAAAATCACAAATACATTTAAGAGTCGGTACAATCTCAAATGGCTTTGGTTGATTCCGTATGGCAGTGAAAGTGTTAAATCAATCACTTTGAAAAAAAAATATGTAGTAAAATTGAGAATATGACACTGATAGTGTGCGGTGTGAAAACACGATTCCTAAATATTTTCAGGCAAAAATACACAAACATAACTTGAAATTTTACGAGAAAACCGCTGTATTCAGTAGGTACTTTACATATACCAAAGTTTTTTTTATAAGTAGCAACTAAAGTAAATAGGACACGTATAGTATACGATATACATTTTTCAAACGGCTTTAATTTCGTTTGTAAAAAAATAATATCTGAAATAAAGCCAGTGAGTGTCACTGCCGCTCGACGCGCGCAATATAACCTCTTTAGTACGGGAAATATTTAAATTCGAGCTAAGGTAGTATCGACTCTTAAAAATCATTAACAGCAATCGCTATTATGCCAGATTAATGTTAAAAATAACTTGATGGTGAGAACTTAAACATAGGAAATTCGAGAAATGTGAGATACGGAAAACCAAGGAAGTATATCCAAGCAAAAATGTACAGGAGAGTATAATTAGGCGTGCTCTGCACCAATAAAGCATTTTCAATAAATAATAAATGAATATAAAAAAATAATAAATATTTTAATTTCCTTTATTAAGACGCGACTCTTAACAGGTTCCATTATATGAACATATTTATCAACTGACAGATTTGTGGAATATCGGTGCAACCGCAATGATTCACATAATATATAGGAAAACAATGAAAACAATGGAGTACGTGAGTCATGCGTCATCTAGAGGTGATTTTTCAAATCATACTCACAAGAACCGTAAATAGGCACTTGCAAAATCTATATATATACTAAATCTATGCTTGCACCTATATGGTTTTCGTCAAGACTAGGAAATTAAAAGTAAATAGTAATTTTAAGTGACGAATTCTGAAACCCCCTACTCAATTCGTAAGTGGCCACCGTAAAGAAATAACGATTGTAAGTATTTTTTAGTAAGTCTTTCTTATGTATTTTTCCTGCGAAAATGTCAGAAAATTAAATCACTGAAGAAAAATTTAAATGTAAGATCTGGTAGTATGGCTAATGACGGTTAATTACACGCTTTGTCTTGTTTGCGCACTGCCTCCGATCCGTAAACGTTCCGAATCCGAAACAGATTTTGGATGTCGCATGTGCACTAAGTCCGAGTTGAATCCGGGTAAATACGAATATCGCTTTTACTATATATTTTTACTAGATATTTCATTTATAGTTATCACTGAATGGTGTGTACATTTTTAACTCCCTACATCCGTCCGCGCAGGACCGTCCCGCCGCGTTCGGACTCGGATCGGACGCAGTGAGCAAACGCTCTTATCCAGTCCCGAAGAACGAAAAAAATTGCTATCATTTCTTTTTTTGGCTTTGTTTAAACAATATATGGTAGGTCAATGAATATACGCGAAGATTTAAAAGGTGGTAAAAGGCCTCTGACATAGTACTGGTAGATAAGACGAAGCCAATTTAAAAGTTAATTAATGTAAATTTAGCTAGGGAACCATAAAAATGGCGCACCGCCGTAATGTGTGATTAATTATGTTATAAATAATAATATTCGTATATGTATATAGGATATGCCATATGAAGATCGGTAAAACGACAACGATAAACGGTTTATTACATTGTAATAATAGCTATTAAATTAATATCTCAATTTATAGTTGTAATCAGTGTCGATAAAATAATTGAAACGTGACAATTGTTCATTTGAAAATTCAAATTTTAATGCCTACATAATTTTATCATATTTTGGTATGATAAGCTCAAGGTTTAAATCACTAATAAAAATATTGATTGGTATGGTCACTATTGATGTGTCTATAAACCGGAAACTTGTAACAAAAAACCAAAATGAAGCTTTAAAAAAAACAAGCTTTTTTATATTCTTACTCTAGCTATATTCCGGTCTGAGCTTTCCTAAAAGGCAGCATTTCAAAATGTTCCGTTTTTGGTTATATGTTTATAAATACTTAATCATAATTTATAATTAATTTCGATCGAGTACTGGTATACACATAATTTATTCAGGAACCTTACGTTTCTTTAAAATTTTGTAATATTATTAGTTGTATTAAAGATTTTCCTCTCAGCGGATTCTATCGAAATTCACCGGCCAAAGTCTGAGTAAAAAACGCGTGCCTTCCTTAATCATCGATTGTATCGATGGAGCAATAATATTATAAAGAAGAAGACTAAAAAAGAAAACTATACTACTAATAAATATAATTCATAAACTACAAATTTTACGTTTAATTCTTTGGTTTATACTTTGCTACTTAGATAACGTTTAGCACCATCTATTGTCGAATAGATAAACTATATCATTTCATTAGTTCTCAATGCGCTATTCGTTACTAGATGGCGTTATTAACCAAATTCGATTCCTATTGGCGTTTGACATTTAGAAATACCAATCCGCTACTGGTTAATGTGATATAATTTTTTAATAAACTTATGAATAAAAATACAAAATAATTGTAAAAAAGTTTGATGTTATTTCGCAATAATATCTATTTTATTATTGCGCATGACCATTTCTTCGAAGGTCAATGCGCATAGTCAAAACATTGCGCATTTCGCTCGCCTAACCTCATCCGAGTCGATCGACCTGCGAGTCCTGACTGCGACGAAGCTCTGTCAGTGCGAAAGCCTTTTCCTCATTGTGCTGTATTTGTGCCTATAGTGGTGTGCTAAGTGTCTTCGAGCACTTCAATTTGTTTAGGTGCTAGTTAAAACAATATTTCAGGTAAGAGATATTTTATTTGTTATTGTCAACAATTTCTCACTGAAGTGGTTTAAAAACCTCATTTGTCACGTCGAGTACTTTCTTCATTATCTTATTAAGATATATGGTGTATTTTTATTCAAAGTAAGTAAGTGTGTAAGTATAGCGGAACAACTTTCTTTGTTGATTCATCATCGTTCGTGATGTCATACGTGGTGATGCCAACTGGGTAGATTTACATATTTTATTCTCTTTCGACTGTGCAAGATAGGGTCATATAGCTTTCTGTTACATATAGTTTTCTTATAGGTTGTTCTTCTGGGTAAAACTCCCATAGGTACTCAATTCTCTAGTTAAAAGAGTAGGTGCTTAGTGTCCTAAATTTAGTTGTGTGATTTTCCCATGATAAATACAACTAATCTGATAAGGGCCACTCAGATACTTATCCATTTGTTACATTATTTTGATTATGCTCTAAAATATGCAATGTTTTAGAATATAATAATGTAATAGAGATTTATTTATATAATAATGTGACCAATTGGTCCTTGTCTCAAACTAGAGAATTTTCAGTGTTATGAGCACCGGAGTTACAGAATGCATTTGGAGGCACTACCCAGGATATTCAAACCAGAACAAATTTGTAAAGTTCTTTTCTTATATTTTTCCTATCGAACGCAGCCTGGCCCTTAATGTAAATTGTACTTACTGTTCTATGTAATATAAATTTTATTACAAACGGTCAAACAGTTATCATGCTGGATAGCCACACAGAGGTCCCGGGTTCAATTCCCGGGCTGGGAGAAACATTTGTTTGGCGTCCGTTTATATCTCCCATGTGGTTAGTGTAATTTGTCTATGTGTGTGTCCATTGGCACTCGTGATACAGGGTCTTCCTAGTGTCTGAAAAGAAAAATGGTAATAAAATTCGTAATGTTTGAAACAGTAACTATATGATATGTTTTTGTGGCACATTGTAAATAGTTACCTCAATATCCAGTTTTTATTGGAGATAAAAGTTAAGTGGACCTTCTCCAATGTGTAGATTTCATCAATGCTACTAGAGTAAATATTAATAATAATATATAATTATATTTTTTTTATTTGCTGTAATAATAATACAACATGCATAGTGTACAGTAAGTAAGTATCAAAGAATCAGTACATATAACTGCTGGTTCTTAAAAAAACCTGTACTATAAGCACCAGCAAACCTTCCATTGGCATAAATTAATATCAACTACACATGGGTTGGAAAAGTGCTAAGTAGTGCAAGCTCTGTCCTAGGAACCCATCTTAATTCCTCCAAATATAGATCTAAAATGCAGTTAAAGGCATCATTGCATGTAAATTAGCTGTCCTTAAAGCTACATATTTACCTTAAAACTAAAATATTGTAGGCTTAGTGCAAGAAGTCATTAATTGCCATATAAATTGAATGGTAATAATGACTTCTTGCAATAAGCTGATGATATTTTTTAAGAGAAGGCCTATACCTAGCACTTTCAAAATGGCCACTGTAATGATATAACAATTTCAAAAATATTGATGAAACATAACTTTCTAAAATCTGGCAGTATGGCTAATTAGACGAAAAATTTTGCTACTGAAGGATGATTGTTAAATTCGCAGCTTACGGTATTTAACTACTCATCATCTCATCACTGATAACAGGGTAGTACTGCCACTTTACCTATTTCTGCAACCAAGCCATTATGTCAGCGTTACTGCGTTCCGGTTTTGAAGGGTAAGGGTGCTGATGAAATTACAGGCACATTCGAATTGTCAACTTATGTCACAGTGTGATACAGGTGGGCGCTGTAGCAATTCCCCTCAGATCTTTGCGATTTAAAGAGTGGCACCAAACTGCTATGGACAGGCGTGTCGCTCACCACCAGGCGAACGACTTGTTTGTCTCGTCAGTTGGTAGCATAAAAAAATCCCAAAACGTTCAAAAATTTAATTTGTAACAAATAGAAAAGTAAAGATAAGTTACAGATTATGAGAAATATGAAAATTAGTGGGCGTTATGTACGGCGAATGTTTACACCGTTCGACAATCAGGGACGACTCAAGAGTTGGTAAGTTTTTGGAATTGCCTAGGACAATTTGGATGAAATTTGTAATTGGGCATACTTGATGAACTGGGCAATCGAAACATAGAGTAGTCAGAATGATTCGGGGTCCGAACAGGTGTTAATGCAATGGATAAGTAAGGAGGCCACTGAAGAAATTCAAAGTGGAAAAGTCGCCGCGCAGGACCGTGGCAACCATTTTCTGGGCTTGTCATGGAATTTTATTAATTGAAGAACCTAGAGGAACGACATTGAATCACCAAGACTACGCAAATTTGTTGCTGAGTCACGTGAGGCAGGCGAAGAGAATTTGTCACAGCACGTATTGCTAGGCCAATAGCCCTTAAAAGGCTATTTGGGCATTTTCAGATTAATTGACCATCAACCCTAGAGTACCGACCAGGCGCTTAGTTACATTCCATTTTTTCCCTTTTTCCCTTTTTCGTAGTTGAAAAAGGAGTCACAATGCCGAAGAGTTCCGATGACATTGGAGTCAAATCAAACAATATTCTTTTCAGTGGTTATGGGTTATTAATAATGGGTTTGTACACATGATGTGAAAAATGTATCTCACTCGTGGCTATGTATTGAAAAGTAAAAACATAAAATTAAGTACCTCGGGTTGCGAATTTATCAGCCGGCTCTTGAAGTTTATAATGTTTTACTATCCTATAACACATTCTGTGTGTCTTTGTGCCAAGGCACAGAGTGCCAGTGTATTTAACATCCCTGAAGTTATGCCAACTCTGGTGTAATGCTGTCAGAAACTGAAAAGTATTAAACTCAATAGCGGAACACAAAGCGGCTCTTGACAATAATCCCTTTGGCTGACAATAATATTGTATCGGCGATAAAACATTCGGCAGAATGCCTGTCATTCGCTCTTATTTAAGCTTTGTTATGTTATTTGCAAAGAGTACAAACATTTCAAAACATCTTAGAAAAGTTGAATGCTATGATTGGCAGTGAAAGAAAATCGTGTCCGCGGAAATCAGAATTTTCTCAAATGTTCCCGATTTCGAAACGTTCCTAAGATTTTTTTGGCATCGCCTTGTGATTCAGGAAGCCATTTTGTATGACGTTGATTTCAATTACAATTCGGACAGCGGGATCTAAAAGTATGATCCCTATAAAAATACCTTGTATCAGTTATTTATTCAAAACAAGAGTAATTATAATAATCATACTATTTACACAAATTCAACATCCATTGCATGAACCACTATTGTTGCCCTAAAAATATAAGTTTGTTGTTATTTTTACATAATCTTCTATTTAATAATCCGACGCTTATACAACGGATGTGGAACAAAGTCTTGATCACAAATTTGCCAACTGTATTGTTCGCTTTCCTTCTCGTATGCGTAAAGCGAACATGCGATTATGTAAATATAATTCTCCAGTCGTCGAAACCTTGAGATGGGCCCTAAATTGTGTATAACTGTGGAATCTAGTATTGCTTTCGCTGTCCTTGTCAAAGGTTTTTGTCTTGACCTTGATTAGACAGGACTAGAATTATTCGACGCAATGGCGGGTGGCGCGTCAAACACCGTATAATTAACCCCTATTGCGTTCAAAGCACATCATGAACGTCATTCGTGAGCGACAAGAGTGACGTCATTATCTTATCGTGTGATTCATGTTCGTTCATAAAATTCTCATTTCGCAAAACTTATTAATTACATGCGAAAGTACTTTGTTATCGTTGGCACTTAAACATAAAGATCATCTGAATAATTTTACAGGTCATCATGAGGCTATTTATTCTGTACGTCATGATGTTCGAAGATTATTATTTCAAAAAAGTTAATCTTTGTGTGTGGACAAAGCATGTATACGTATAATCCGGGAATACCCAGTGTTGATAGAACCGATGAAATAGCTTTACGAGAGCTTGATATCATTGGAAATAAGTTTGCAAGTTTCTTAAATAAACCATAAATTATACAGTGTAGTAATAATATAGTCACAAATCAAATCAAATAAGCAAAAAATTGCGCAATCTCAAACGGAAAGACATTAGACGACTAATTTTGAAGTACCCTTTTGTACGAAAGTAGACAAACAGGCAGTTTTGCCGTCATCTGCAAACATTTAATGTCACGTTTGTATAGCCCCGAAAAGTCAGAAGCCAATAAAAGTTTTATTGGTAGATGGATCCTCTCGAGGCCTCAAAATTTCGAAGCTAATAAAAGTTTGGTGGATAGATCCCTAATCAAAATTCAAAATTTCGCAGCTAGTTTTTGAAAAGCGCTAATCGTTAAAGATCTTAATATTAACTTCTGTTGTAATTATGCAAACCACATTGACAATTATACTGGCCTTTAAATTTTCATATGGTCAATGTTTTTCTATTATCTTTTTGTTAATTACCCCAAAATGTTAAATGTTAAACACCCTCGCATCCCAGTTGTGTCGAATCCAAATTATGTTGAATATACCTAGATTACAGCCATAATGTAACTTGGGTCGGGTGCTTAGCGCTTCCAACAAATTGCTTTCCTTTGTCATGCGATGCCGCAGCTATTATAAGTATACTGGTTTTAGATAACACAAATTCCATTTACATAAAATTGATTTAGAAGTGTGTTTGTTATGTACGTACCATATACGTATCAAGTAATACAATAAAAAGGTACTGCAATCATTACGATGTAGTGAATGTCAGTTTTGTTGTTTAATTCATACTTAGCCAGTTACGCAAATAACTCGGTATACTGTCAACGTAACGGGCCATCTCCTGTCTATATGTAATGTAGCTTTATAATGATTTTAATTGAGGCACATGAAAGCATAAAACAAGTAAAAAGTTGCATTGATGGTAGACACAAGCGGGGCCACGTTCTATGGGCAAGGGGGGTTGCGCGCGTCTATTGATTTTTCGGCGAGCGGCGACGTGCTACATCGTCGAGCTGATATCTTCGCTAGAGATTACTGGACTTTTTG